TCTCTCTCTCTCTCTCTCTCTCTCTCTCTCTCTCTCTCTCTCTCTCTCTCTCTCTCGTGCATCACTGCTTATTTCCGGCACGTGTGAATGCACACAAAAGAGTCGCAAAAGAGGTATTACAACTAGATCGATGGACATCCCTCCCGTCGTTCATGCCGCGGTCGCCATCGCTGAGCTTAGTAGAAGTCGTCCGTAATGACCCGTACTTCGCCGTGCAGATACTCGCGATTGGCAAAAGGTGGCTCATCGTGGACGATGTACAACGCCGGTTCATGGAGGCGGCCTGTGTACCCCATCGCCACATTGGACACAAGCAGGTCGATGATGTCCGCCAACACGTCGACACGTACTGACCAATGGTTGGAGATGGTTGTGCCCACCTTTCGCGCGAAAACAACCTCCTGCTGCAGAAACCCTCTGCCAAATCCAAACCCTACCGTAAAATGGAGGCACGTGCCTCCATCCGCGTTGTAATGTGGAACGTCATGTTTGGAGACCCCGTTCTCGAAACCGAAGTCCCTCCCATAGTCTTTCCCGCGCCGGTGCCGCATCTCGTAGAAGACGACGGAGCGACCCAAGACCCTCCCCCTCAACGCCACACCAATCTCCATGTGCGCCGCAATCAACGAAGGGGACAAAGTTGAACCCCGCTATGAGCACCCCTGTCCAACACACCACTAATACGAAACAGTTCTCCTCCCACCATGCACGTGCGACCTCAACCGCCCGCCCGCACCACAACACACGACGTCCACCGCACAATGATCGCAGAAAGCAAGGCGCTGATGATCGTCGCTTCGATGCGGTCGGTTCTCGCCGTGCGGACCTTTATAGTGGACGACCGGCGGGGTCTCGTGTTCAATGTCCCTGATTTCGTCTTCATCGCCGTCCGATGGCCTGCTCCCATCAACGGACGACTGCTTCACATCGCCTGCGCAGGGTCGTGCCCGCCTTGTCAGCGAAGGATAGTACAACAGGAAGTGGGCCTGAAAATTTGGCAGAGATAGCGTGCGTGGGAATTCCTTATGCCCGTGGCGGGGGTGGAGGGGATTTGGGGATGGTGTTTTTTTCAGCGGGATAGGGCTAGAAAGGGTTGGGGGGTGGGTTGTGTGTGTGGTGGGGGGGGGGGCGCTCGGGTGCCGTGGGATCAGCTCCGGGACAACACCGATACTATCTTCAACAATGTATCACACAACATGCACTGACCCGCCTCAAGCACCTCGCACTGTTTCTCCTGCGTTCTGGCCTCCCTCTCCATGACATCGCATTGCCGTTGCAGCACATCGCATTGACGCTTGCTGGCACGATCCACAAAATCTGCCACAACCATCGAATTTGTCTTCATGACGTCTGTGACGACATCAAAGGCCAGTTGTCGTGCATTCTTCCGCTTCCGCACAGGCGCGCCCCCTGAAGACCTGCTGCGATACCCATCCGCCGCTCGACAATCCATACCGTCACTCGCAGACGTTTCGCCGACGACGGTCGGCCCTCTTCCTTGGCTCTGGTCGACGTTATTGGGTTGTTGTGGAGGCAGTCCACCGGTGTCATGCAGATTAGGCGGGTGGATGGCCTGATTGTTGGGGGTTGTCGTGTGGATGGCATCATACAGTTGTTGATCAATCGCGAACTTGTACCCCAGTTCTTTGCGCTTCTTTGAGGTGAGCAGGAAAAAAGATTGCAGGCCGGAGTCTTTCTCTCTGTCCCAAAGTTTTCTATACCACCCAAAAATGTTCTCCCATCTCTTCATGCACGAATCCCCATCTTTATTCGTAACCCCCTGCTGGGTCATCCGCTTCGCGATCTCGTTCCATTTTCAGGTATTTGTCTTCATACGTGCGAAGTTGCTGCCTTGGCTCGCCATGTGATCATCGAGGTCCCTTTTGCACCAGACAAGGACGAGCGATTCGTCCAAATGCCAGTTTTGCCGCGTGCTCCCTCCCCCACCCTCAGCATCCGCACCCCCCCCTTCCTCCCTCGCCTTCGACCTCCCATGACTCTTGCTTGCCTTCTTCTTGCCGGCCTTTGATGTCACTTCCTTCACCGCAGCGTCATCGTCCTCGTTCTCGTCGTTGTCGTCCATGCACTCCTCATCCGCCACATCCTCACCGCGAGTGTTGCCATCACCTCCGTCGTCGCGTTCGACGTCCGTGCGGCGTGCGCATCCTGGAGTGCCGCGCTATGATCCTCTCTATCACGTGGGGGGACTCTTCCGCAGTTGCTGTCGTCACTTTTCCTGGAGGGACAGTGTGGGGAACCCTAGTGTGGAACGGAGTCGACATTGCAGGCGGTTTGCTATGGCTGCTCGTGCATGCAGAACAGTTGCAAAGGATCCGCCGCTGCCCCCAACGCTTCCGTCATAAGGGCGGACATTGGATCCATACCACTGCAACGATCACCCGATCTGCCCCCGGACTCGTAGGAGGTCTGTGTCGACCCCCATGCGAGAGGGAGGGTTGAAGGGGGCAGCACCCATTCCTCGTCATTTGGCAAGGGTTGCATGTGAGGAGGCAGATGGGCGTACAACATGGGGTCGAATCGGTGACGCATTCCGTCGGAAACCCCGTTGGCAGCCCCTCCGACCATCCCGTACATGTGGCCGCCAGGGAGATTATCTTCGCCCATCCCCTTCCTCAACCTGCCTCCTCCGCCGCTCTTCTTTGTTGGCTTCTTCCGCGGACGGGCCCGACTGTGCTTGAACAACTGGCACAGTTGCACCAGAATGACGATCAACAAAGCGATAAGGAGGATTGCCAGCAGAGCAGTCTTCCTGAGGAGGTCTGCCATGCGCACACGTGAGGCGTGATGAAGACAAACACAACACGAGGCAGTTGTGAAAACGACAACGCGTCTAAGGACATGCGCGACCATTTACATCGATCGGCCACTGCCTCGGGAGCGTTGTGTTCTGCCCTCTCATTTGGAGAATGCCATGGACTGGCACTAGCGGTTAATGGAAGGCTAAAAAATTGGGGTTTTTCGGCGCGTTGCTACAAGCAATGTGCTTCTCCACTAACGGAGAAAAAAGTAAAAATTCAGGGAAATATGGCAGTTTTGGTGAAAAATTCGCCATTCCATTAACCGCTTCTCCCCTGCCGCTTCCAGAACAACGTTCGTGCCCTGCCAACGGCTACTGTGCCTCGCAACGGCACTGGAGACACCGGTACCGTTTCTCGCCGGTGCCAATATCCCGCCGTTCGGGCTGGTCACGAACGCACTGGACCGGGAACAACCGTGTGTCGTGAAGAAAATAAAAACGAAAGACAGGAAAATAAAAACGAAAGACAGGCTCCGTGAATGACACGCTCCGTAGGGCCCCACCCTCACATTTTCAAGTCACCTCCAACGGCTCCCTTGAGATTTCCGTCGTTTTGCCTGGGCCGCCCTTATTTTTTAGGGGCGGACTCTATAAGCCCGAGATGTGGAAACATTCTGGAGTTCGTTTTCATCGCGATTAGGGTGCTATGGAACAATGGTTTTCTAAGAATCCTTACATTTCAAGCGATGTCGAACGAGGCCCCTATTCGTGGGGAGCAGCACGTGCTGGGAAGCGGGCACAGCGTCACATATGAAAATTTACATAGAATTTTGAAAGTTTGAGATACCGGGGCCATTACCCGGCTTTGGCTAAGAAAATTTTGAGCTACTTAGAAAATTACTAGACAAACTTCAGAAAAACGCCTACCCACAACAAAACACTCCACCACAGAGGTCCTAAAAATGCTCAAAACCCTGTGGATCCCTAGCAACCCTTCTAAAGCTCTCTAGCATTGTCACTAGAACAAAGGGTCTTGCTAGACACACTCTAAAAATGCCACTTTTTAGGAATGCAGTGTGGTTAGAAGAAGCCTAAGCTGAGTTTCTTCCTTAACACTCTTTATGCGAATAGCGGGTCTCGCGTAACGCTCCCGCGAGATCCAGCTTTCCGCTGTTGGGAAACGCGGTGGGACCCGTAGGCGGGCCCGACAGACACGGCATGAGGCCTTTGGGGCGGGCCGGACCGGCGAGCCCGGGTTGGACGGCCCAATAGACCTTTCGGGGATCTGCGGCAGATGATTCCCGAAACTTTTATCGGGCCGTCCGGGGCTGCTCGACAATCTTAACGGTTGTCGCGGGTCCGGCTTTTGCAATCGTGTGCTGCTTCGTGCGGTGATGTTTCGATGCGACGGTTTCGAGCGCTTTGTGGTCGCCGTGGTGGTTGTTGTGCTCGGTTTGACGGAGGAGGGAGGGAGGGAGAGAGAGAGAGAGAGAGAGAGAG